CTGAACTGACTATATTTGATCGATCCCCATGGGTCGAGAGTGAAGGTGGATACAAATTCACAGTGGAGAGGAAGGAGGGTCCCCCACCTTCTCTCCTCCCACCTCCCCATCCAATTCTTCCCCCAATTTCTTCACTTCCAAGGCCAAGGTCAGTGCTCAGTGCTCAATAACTATTCCATCAATGCCTTTTCATCTTAAAAATGCACATAGCCAGCAGGTCTGGCATTCTCCCTCTGTAGTTCATGAAGGACCCCATACTCTCCTTCATGAGGTGAGAGTCCTGAGACCAAAGCAGAATCCAAGACATGGACCATGGCTGCATAATCTCTGAAAGATGAAGTAATGCACTAAGAGACAACCAAACTCTATTTCCAGCTAGGCACTGGTGGTTCAAACCCAGAATCACAGCTACTCAGGAAGCTGACATGTGAGGATCAAGGTTGGAAGCCAGGCCCGGGAGGAAAGGCCAGGAGACTCTATCACCATTCAACCACCAATATAGCCACATGTGGCTCAAGTTATAGAGCATCAGCCTTGAGCACTAAAACACAGGACAACACCCAGGACCTGAGTTCAAGCCCTAGGACTGACCTGGGCCTAGAGCCTGACTCTGCACTCTGTGCAGTGAATAAACACCTGGTGCTCATGGCCGGATCACACCAGGAGCCTTTGTACCCCAGACAGAGGTCCCAGAACCCCAGCCCAGCCCACACCAGGCACAAGACAAACACCTCCCCGTGTAGTCCTGTCTAGATTTGGGCACAAATTCTGTGAACTCTCTGTTGCTATATTATTTCATCTCCCACCTTTCATGGTTCTGGTTTTTGTGCTACTCCTGGGGCTTGAACTCAAGGCCTGGACATCAACTATCTGGAGCTTTTTGTGCTCAAGGCTGGTGCTCTACCACTTTGAGCCACGGCTCCACCTCCAGCTTTTTGGTAGTTAATTGGAGATAGGAGTTTCATGGGCTTTTCTTCCTGGGTTGGCTTCAAATCAAACCATGATCCTCAAATATCAGTCTCCTTAGTAGCTGGGATTATAGGCATGAGCCACCGACACTGGTCCCTTCAATGATTTTTACCTAGGACACTGGGTTGGGTGGCTTCCGCCAGGAGTCACTCCCACTGCTGGTCCACTCCAGTCCCTGGCCACTATGTCTTCCCCACTGTTGGCTGCTACCTTTCCCGGGCTGCTTTCCTGCACTGCTCCAGCCAGATAGGAAATGAGGGAGAGAGATGGGGGAATTTCCTCTCCTTATATTTAAGTTATAAGTTTTAGGTTTGTTTTTTTGTTTCAGTTCTTGTGACTCGCTGCTTGTTTATGTATTTGTGGTTGTCGATCTTTTGGGGAGAAGCCGCATGCTAGGAACTCAGATCTCTGTTTGGCTCAAAGGAGCTGCAGCCATTCCCTATTACGTGGCCACCACCTTTCTTCCTTCTTCTTCTTCTTTTTTTTTTTTTTTCTTGTTTTGTGGAGCTACCTTTGCCCCACAAGAGGCAGGTCACCTAAGGCCGCACTCATACCTCTGACCGGAACAACAACTCTGCGGACCCCCACAGAACCCAAGCTGAGTGCCTTCCATGCCAAGTTAGCCCAAATTCATCATTTGCACAACTGAACACAAGTCCAAATGCAAGGTCTGAGCTGTGACACACACACACACACACACACACACACACACACACACACACACACATGAGGCGCCTCTCACCCCTGCCCACGGCTCCCAGCAGGGCAGTCTGCAGAGGCGTTGGTGTGGTTTATTCTACTGGAAAGCATAAGACATAGTGAAATAACATTCGATGACTGATTCTAGCAAAAAAACAAAAATCACTTTGTTGATTAAAGTTAAACTGATTGTTTTGTCCCACTTCTAGACTTGAAGTCAGGGCCTGGGCAATGACCCTGAGCTTTCATGCTCTACCACGTGAGCCACACCTCCTCTTCTGGGGTTTAGATTAACTGGAGATGAAAGCTTCATGGACTTTCCTGCCTGGGTTGGCTTCCAGCTGTGGTCTTCAGATCTCAGCCTCCTTATTAGCTGAAATTACAGATTTGAGCCACCAGTTCCAGGCTACAGTTCTGAGAGGTAAGAGGTGTTGGATGAGGGAAGAAACAGTTCATCAAGCTTTTCTACTTGTTGCAAAGATTAACTCACAGGGCCTGACACACCAGATGCCGAGGTACATCAAGCACAGATGTGGGGTCCCCCTCACCCTTCATACCCAACTCAGGCCATGGAGCCCTGACAGAACCATGGAGAAATGACAAAATTACAAGTGTGAGGAATGACCCAGAATTTTGCATGATTAGAAATACAGGAATTTCAAATTCAAGTGAGCAACTCTGAAACCCACAGCAATTAAATTCTTTTTTTAAAAAAAAGAAAAAATAGCAAGATGCTGGTGGCTCATGCCTGTCATCCTAGCTACTCAGGAGGCTGAGATCTGAGGATCACGGTTCAAAGCCAGCCTGGGCAGGAAAGTCCAGGAAACTCTTATCTCTCCAATAACCCACCAGAAAACCAGAAGTGGCGCTGTGGCTCAAGTGGTAGAGCGCTCTCCTTGAGCTGAAGAGCTGAGGGACAGCATCAAGGCCCAAAGTTCAAGCCCCAAGATTGACAAAAAAGAAAAAGAAAAAATATATGTGAAAGATAGAGTTTGGTTATCTGGGAAGCCACTGAGAAGCTCTCTCAACACCTGGGAGTAGAACAAAGAACAGGGGACTTAGATCTGAGGCTCACAGTTGGAAGCCAACCCAGGCAGGAAGTCCTTCAGGAGCTCATCTCCAGTTAATCAAAACACTAGAAGTGGCTCTGCAGCTCAAGTGGTAGAGAGCTCGCCTTGAGCTGGAGCTCAGGGACAGCTCACAGGCCCTGACTTCAAGCCCAGAAGTGGAATAAAACAAATAAACCATCAGTTTTGACTCTGACCTATAAAGTGTTTGTTTGTTTTTGGCCAAAATGGTATTTCACTGTGTCTTGCAGTGTTTTCAAGTAGAATAACCCACACCAAGGCCTCAGCTGGGAGCCATGGGCAGGGGTGGGAGGCGCCTCGTGTGTGTGTGTGTGTGTGTGTGTGTGTGTGTGTGTGTGTGTGTGTGTCACAGCTCAGACCTTGCACTCAGACTTGTGCTCAGTTGTGCAAATGAATGATTTGGGCCAACTTGGCATGGAAGACACTCAGCTTGGGTTCTGTGAGGGCCCGTGGAGCTCTTTGTACCGGTCAGAGGTTTTGGTGTGGCCTTTGGTGACCTGCTTCACATGGGCAAAGGTTGTGCCACAATAAAAGAAAATTATTTGGAAAGCCACATCCTGACTGCACTGTGCCAGGAGAGGAGGGGAGAGGAGAGAAGAAGAGAGGAGAGGAGAAGAGAAGAAAGGAGAGGAGAGGAGAGGAGAGGAGAGTGAGAAGACACAGTGACCCCATCCTGACTGAGAGCTTACCATGGAGCACAGCCCAGGCCCTGGGTGGATGCGTGATCACTGCTCCCATGATGCCCTGTGAGTCATTCACGTACTACGGGTTCCATACTTTACCGGGTCTGGCACAAGAATGCCAAAGAGGAATGTACGTTGTGAATTCATCAAACCATACACTATTTCTGTTTTTAGTGTGTGCTGGTCCTGAGGCTTGAACTCAGGGCCTGGGCGCTGCCCTTAGTGTTTTGCTCTAGGCTCACGGTCTACCACCTGAGTCACAGCTCCACTTCTGGTGTTCTGCTTGGCTAGATGCACTAAAAGACTACCAAAGGTGTATTTTAAGCCAGGCACCAGTGGCTCACACCTGTAATCCCAGCTACTCAGGAGGCTGAGATCTGAGGATCAAGGTTGGAAGCCAGCCCAGGCAGGAAAGACCAGAAGACTCTTATCTCCAATGAGCCACCAACAAGACCAGAAGTGGAACTATGGCTAAAGTGTTAGAGCACCAGTCTTAAGCACAAAAACACAGGGATAGTGCCCAGGCCCTGAGTTCAAGCCCCAGGAGTGGCCAAAAAAAAAAAATGGCTTTGTCCTCCAGAGAGAACATCCCACTTCCTGGGTACAGCCTACACCAGGCACAACTCAAACACTTCCCAGTGCAATGCGACCTAGATTTGTTTGCTCCTGAACATCACAGACATGGGTTCCTTTGGTGTGAACACACACGCCAGGCATAGGTACAAACACATGCGAATCTGTGTACCCACATGCACTCACGCAATCCCAGTGATGTTACAGAAGTATTGCTCAAACCTGCAAGTTAAGGACAAAGAAAGGAAGCCTGAGAAACTCTCCCTGCCCCCAGGAGCCTGAGGAGCTATGGAGATCACGACCCGGAGAATCATGGCTGAGATCCTAGAATGGAGAGAGACCCTGGGGGAAGCAGAGGAAATCAGAAGGAAAATGCATTGTGGAATCTTGGCAAAGATTTTTGCGTAATAGTGGATTGAACTTAAGGCCTTGATCTAGAAGTCCAGGCCTCCCTCTCTGTCATTTTTCAGATATGTATGCCTCTTTTAAAATAAAATATTAGGGTCTGGGAATGTGGCTTAGTGGTACAGTGCTTGTGTAGCATGCATGAAGCCCTGGGTTTGAATCCTCAGTAACACATACACAGAAAAAGCCAGAAATGGTGCTAAGGCTCAAGTGGTAGAGTGCTAGCCTTGAGCACAGACAGGCTCACGGACAGTACTCAGGCCCTGAGTTCAAGTCCCAGAAGTGGCCCCCAGAAATAAATAAATAAATGGGTTTGGGACATTTAAAACTATATTTTTTCATTCTGTGCTCAAGCCTATTTCCTCTTGTCGTTCAGATTCCCTGCGGTGACCTGACGATAACATGAGCAGAGACCACCCTGGAATGATTTCACAGCTGCATAAAAATCCCCAGGGACAATCACCTTGGTTTTGTTTCTTTCTTTACCATCAATATAGTTTAAAAGGAAATGAAGAAAGTTAATGATTGGCTTCACCACCTAGGATGATATTAAAGACTCTGCCTTCCCCTCCAGAGTGCCAGTGGCCTGTGACCAAGATCCAGGCACGCAGGGCTCTGCCATGGCTCAGGACTACGTGTGGTACCAGGGCATTCCTTTCCCTATCATGGCATACAACCCTGAATTCATAAAAGCAACCCATGAGAAGCTGGTGCTGAAGGACGAGGACATCATCACGGTGGCCTACCCCAAATCAGGTGAGCAGACGGGTCTGCAGCTACGTGGGAAAGGCCAGGCCTGTGCCCCACTCCCTCCAGCCTTCTGCGTGCGAATGGTATAGTAGCTCATTATTGAAGATCTGTGGCCCATGTGGTAGAGCGCCAGCCCTGAGCACAACAGTTCAGAGACAGCACCCAGGCCCTGTTCAACCTCCAGGATGGGCACTATTTAAAAAAAAAAAAAAAGGTGTTTTTGAGATGCTCCATTTGCATAAAAATGAGGATGACTTTGAGGTTACCTAGAGAAGAGGCATGATCTCAAATAGAAGAATCATCAGGGGCCATAGTTGGGAACTGGAAAACTTGGGTAAATACAAGGCACTGGCAGGCCAGGGAGCCCAGGGGTTTGTGTGTGAAGGAGCCTGGGGAGTGGGGAGGGAGCCCTGAGGGCACACTGCAAGGGAAATGTGCTGAAAACCACAGCCAGTGGGGCACTGCAGGATTTCAGGAAGAGCTGACAGCTGCATTGAACCCAAATATCCACAGACAAACAGCTGCACAATCCCAAACAGGTTGAGAGATCAAAATGGAATATTACTGAGTGTTGAAAACACAGATGACTCAGACCCATGCTCCACTATTTTCAGGACATTTGGCCATTTGAGCACATGAGACAAGGCCATAGTGCCAAAACAGAACAATGTGTATTGCACTCACATACAAGGCTCAGGACTGCCAAAGTGATGGAGGAGATAAGAAGATGGTGGGGGTCAGGGCAGATAGCAAGCAAATCAATACTCAGTTGTCATAGACAGTGAATATTTATAAGATGCCAAAATACTGGCATTGAGTGAGCTATGATTAAAATAAACTAAACACTTCTTATCCGCATCAGATTGCATGCTTGAGAAAGTTTACATCAGTAAGGTTTATGGTATGTATACTTTACCATTATATCATATATATTATACTTTATATATTATGTATACAATGTTCTATATTCAGACAGAAATGAGTGACCTTCGCTTTTCCTTCTGTCCAAGGAACCCATTGGTTGGTTGAAGTTCTCTCTCTGATTCACAGCAAGGGCGATCCCAAGTGGATCCGATCTGCGCCCATGTTTGTTCGCTCCCCATGGATCGAGAATGAAATTAGATACATATACACAGTGGAGAAGAAGGAGGGTCCCCCCCTCCTCACCTCCCACCTCCCCATCCAACTCTTCCCCAAGTCTTTCTTCACTTCCAAGCCAAGGTCAGTGCTCAGTGCTCAATAACTGTTTAATCAATGCCTTTTAAACATAAAACTGTACATAGTCAGCAGATCTGGCATTGTCCCCCTGTAGTTCACAGAGGATCGAGACTCTTCCTTATGAGGTGAGGGTCCTCAGACCAAACCAGAGTAATAGATGTGGACCATGGCTGCATAATCCCTGACAGATGAACTGGATGCACTGAAAGACTAACCAAACTGTGTTTTAAGCGGATATCCAGGCCTCATGCAGTCAACCCAGCTAAACAGGAGGCTGAGATTTGAGGTTCAAAATCAGAAGTCAGCCTAGGCAGGAAAGACTAGGAGATGCTTGAACCACAAAAAAATAACAGCACAAATGGAGCTGTGGCTCAAGTGGTAGAGTACCAGCCTTGAGCACAGAAATGAAAGACAGCACCCAGGCCCTGAGTTCAAGCTCCAGGAATGGCAAATAAGAAGAAGAAGAAGAAGTGACATTGTATGGTTTCAGTGTCATGTCACCTGGTGTCTGTGGCCTGACTCTGAACGTTGTGCAGTGAATAAACACCTGGTGCTCAGGGCCGGATACACCAGGAGCCTTTGTGCACCAGACAGAGGTCCTCATTGCCCTGCCTGCCCACACCAGGCATGATGCAAACACTTCCCAGGTGCAATGCGACCTAGATTTGTTTCTTCCTGTACAGCAAAAAATGGGTGGGGATGGAAAGGTGGCTCAGTGGTAAAGTGTTTGCCTTGCATGCATGAGGCCCTGGGTTCGATTCCTCAGCAGCACATAAGCAGAAAAAGCTGGAAGTGGAGCTGTGGCTCAAGTGGTAGGGTGCTAGTCTTGAGCTGAAAAGCTGAGGGAGAGTCCAGGCCCAGAGTTCAGGCCTTATGACCAACAACAACAACAAAAAAAGTGTTCATGTGGTGTGAACATGCTGATGCTGTATTATTTCATACCTCCTGCCCCTCGCCTTTAATAGTTTTTATTTTGTTTTGTTTTTGTTCCCCTTCTTGGGCTTGAACTCGGAGCCTAGGTGCTGTCCCTGAGCTTTTGTGCTCAAAGCTGTCACTCTACCACTTTGAGCCACAGCTCCTCTTCTGCGTTTCAGGTAGTTAACTGGAGACAGGTGTTTCTTGGGCTGTTCTACCTGGGCTGACCTGAAATCACAACCCTCAGATCTCAGCCTACTGAGTAGCTGGGATTACAGGCGCAAGCCACTGATGCCCAGATCCTCCCATGATTTTTACACAATGACTTATAAATCTATGGCCAGCAAATGCTAACCAGCTCTCCTGTGCTTTATAGATAAATATCTCAGATACATTTAGGAAACGCATTGTCCTTCCATTGCTTTATTCCTAGCAAGGTAAACCAGAAGACCAACAGACATTTAGATATTGGAGCAAAATTTTCTAGAATTACTCTGAACACAAAGAAATTATGGGAATGTTTCTTGTTTGTTTAATTCTTTTCCTTCTCTCTTGAAGGTGATCTATGTCATCAGAAGTCCTAAGGATGTCCTTATATCTGGTTATTATTTCTGGGGTTCTACAAATCTGGCTAAGAAACCAGAGTCACTGCAACAATACTTTGAATGGTTCTTGCAAGGACACAGTGAGTGGGTTGTGAAGAGAGCAGACAAGGATTTAATCATCTTTCAGGACCTCATGTGACCCTCCCCTCCCACCATGTTTCATCTTCAAATCTCACCATCTGTGGGTCCAATGCTTCCTCATCCCAGAACTCACATTGGCTAAAGGCAGCACCAGACTTCTCCCATGATGGAAGGTCCCAAGGTGTTTTGAGCCCCTGGAGCTTCCGTAGCCATGGAGGACCCGCCCCCTCCTGTGTGCTCTACTCCCAGATGTTGACTGACAGCTTCTCACTGGCTTCCCACACAGCCCAACTCTACCTTCCCTATATATTTCCATTGTTTTAATTTTCTTTTGCTGTCTGTTTCAGAGTTTCTTGCTTGAAGTTGGGGTCGCTCTGTTTCTAGTCATGCAGAAGTTCTGGGTCATTCCTCATGCTTGTAATTTTGTCATTTCTCCACATTTCTGTCAGGGGTCCATGGCCTGAGTTGGGTATGAAGGGAGGGGGACCCCACATCTGTCTTTACCTCATCATTTGTTGTCCCAAGCCCTGTGGGTTTATCTTTACAACCAGTACCAGTAGAGGTTCTTGATGAACTGCTTCTGCTCTACATCTCTTATCACTCAGAACTATGGTCCAGGGCTGGTGGCTCACACCTGTAATCACAGCTACACAGGAGCTGAGAGCTGAGGATCACAATTGGAAGCTCAAGCCAGGCAGGAAGTCCTTGAGGCTCTCATCTCCACTTAGTCATCATAACACAGGAAGTGGAGGTGTGGCTCAAGTGGCAGAGTGGCAGCCTTAAGTATATAAACTCAAGGATGAAGCCCAGGTCCAGAAGTAGCACACAAAAATTAGTTTGACTATGATCTACAAAGTGTAATTCATGAAACTGAGATCCTGAATAGTATTTGAATGCTATTTCACTGTGTCTTACGGTGTTTTCAAGTAGAATAAACCACACCAAGGCCTCTGCAGACTGACCTGCTGGGAGCCATGGGCAGGGATGGGAGGTGCCTCGTGTGCGTGTGTCACAGCTCAGACCTTGCACTCAGACTTGTGCTCAGTTGTGCAAATGATGGATTTGGGCCAACTTGGCATGGAAGGCCCTCAGCCTGAGTTCTGTGAGGGCCTGCGGAGCTCTTTGTACCGGTCAGAGGTTTTGGTGTGGCCTTTGGTGACCTGCTTCAGATGGGGCAAAGGTTGTGCCACAATAAAAGAAAACTATTTGGGCTGGGAGCCGGTGGCTCATGCCTGTCATCCTATCTATTCAGGAGGCTGAGATCTGAGGACCATGATTCAAAGCCAGCCCGGGCAGTAAAATCCATGAGACTCTTATCTCCAATAACCCACCAGAAAACTGGAAGTGGTGCTGTGGCTCAAGTGGAAGAGTGCTTGTCTTGAGCTGAAGAGCTGAGGGACAGCATCCAGGCCCAGAGTTCAAACCCCAGGACTGACAAGAGAAAAAGAAAGAAAATTATTTGGAAAGCTATGTCCTGGCTCCGCAGTGCTCTCTCTTTTAGGCCATAAGGAGATAGGACTTGTCAGTAATACCCTGGTGAAGGTGACAGGGATCAGAGCCTTCGGAGCTGAGACCACCATGCAGATGGGGAATGGTGGAGACTTTTCACGCTGTCCCACTGTCCCCCCTGCAGTGCCTTATTTGTCATAGTTTGATCACATCCGGGGCTGGATGTCCATGAGGGAAAAGGAGAATCTGCTGGTAACAATTGTATAAGCACCCCATTCCACCACCCTCCTCACCCCCTTCTACCACCTCCCCTTCTTCTGACCGCCCCTCCTCCAGTTCACACGTGCACACGCACACACACACACACGCACACACACACACACACGCACACACACACACACGCACACACACACACACACACACACACACACAGAGTGCCATCTCACATTCTCTATCAAGTTTGTACATCATGGTGTGTCATTCTTTCCCCTCACCCTCCTTTTCTTTCTTTTTTGTTTCTAATGGACTCTTGAACTCAGTACCTGATGCTTTGCTAGTTGTCTGGCGCTCTACCCACTGAGCCATGCCCCAGCTCCCACACTCCACTCATCCTTTTTCCTGCCAGCTCCTTCTGATATTTTTCCCTTCTCCTGCTCCCTCCTCCTGTGCTGCTCCCTCTCCTATCCCTGCTTTTCTCACATTAGGAACCCAGGAGCATGATAGAGAAGATCTGTGCATTCCTGGGGAAGGCGCTGGAGCCGGGAGAGCTGGACTTGGTCCTGGAGAACAGTTCCTTCCAGGCGATGAAAGAAAACAAGATGCTCAATTTCAATAATGTGGCAGTGAAGTTTATTCCTTCCGATCTCAAAATCATCAGGAAAGGTATGGAAATGCCCCAGGGAAGAAGGTGCTGGAGTTCAGGAAACAGAAATCTGGTCTCCAACCACAGGCTCCTGGCCAGGGATCAGCCAAGGACAAGTTGGTTGTTCATTTTCAGCTTGTGTCAAAAAAAAAACTAGACTGGAAGTGGAGCTGTGGCTCAAGTGGTAAAGTGCCAGTCTTTAGCAAAAGAAGCTCAAGGTGAGCAACCAGGCCCTGAGTTCAAGTCCCACAAGTAACAGACAAACAAACAAACAAATAAAAATGTGATAATAATGATATCTGAAAAGAAAACAAAATATAAATTCCAGCTTGGTGTCTATGGCTCAGGCCTGTAATTCTAGCTGCCCTGGAACCTGAGATCTGAGGATCATGTTTCAAAGCCAGCTCAGGCAGGAAAATCCAATCCAAGAGACTCTTTCTCCCCAGTTAACTACCAAAACAAAACAAAACAAAACAGAAAATAGAGCTGTGGCTCAAGTGATAGAGCACTAGGCTTGAGCAGAAAATAACTCTCAAACAGCACCTAGGCCCTGAGTTCAAGTTCCTGTATAGGCACACACTTCTACACACCTGCACACACATTTAACTCTATTATATAAGAACTCTATCAAATACACATGCATATCCATGCACACTTGACCTATGTGCACACATGCACATTTAAATCTTATATGAGTACTCTATTGCACGCACGCACGCACACACACACACACACACACTTAGCTTTCTATTATAGAAAAACACTATCGTGGCAGGGGAGGATTGGTGGGGGGGGGGGTAGGCTGGGAAGGGATGTGAAGGGTAAACAAAGGAGGAGGCTGCAATGCTTGATAAGAAATGTATTCATTATGTTGCCCATGTAATTGTAACCCCTCTGTATAGTATGTTCACAAAAAATAACAAAGAAAAAAAATAAAGAAAAACACTATCGTGTGCATGCGGATATTAAAGGGCCCTGAGTTCTCTGAGACCACATCCTGAGCTTCTTGATTCCACATATCTGGGCCAGGAATGGAGCCCATGGCGGCAGAGGGGAACTTGAGAGGAGAGCACTGGACATGGAATGTGGTTGCTGTGGAGTCCATCTCCCAGGGAGATCTGTGGCTTCACCCTCTTGAGCAAGCAGAGGGCAGAGGGGACATGAGGGGACAGTGCCTTCCTGCCCTGACCCAGTCTGATGTCATTATTTCTCCAGGCATCACAGGGGACTGGAAGAACCACTTCACCCCAGCCCAGGCCCAAGCCTTCGAGGAAACATTCCAGGAGAAGATGGCGGGACTTCCTCTGGAGCTGTTCCCATGGGACTAAGCCCAGATTTCGCTCTGTGTCTATGGGGATGAAGACATGTGTCCCCATCTTACAGAGGTGACAGGACTGGGAGTGCATCATACCATAAGTCTCTCACTCAAATCTGGACATCTGAATTTTCTTTTTTTGTGTGTGTCCGCCATGGAGCTTGAACTCAGGGCCTTGAGCACTGTCCCTGAGCTTCGTTTGCTCAAGGCTAGCACTCTACCACTTGAGGCACAGCACCACTTCTGGCTTTCTCTGCGTATGTGGTACTGAGGAAGCGAACCCAGGGCTTCATGCATGCTAAGCAAACACTCTACCATTAAGCCACATTCCCAGTCTGACTTTGCCTGTCACATCTTTGGTGCAATCACCAGGAAGGGTGGCAGCCACATGCAGGTGAGGAGCACAAAGGGACCCGTGTGTGTTCTTGCTGAAATAAATGGGGCCACAGCACCGAGGGCTGACAAACATGGCTTAGTGTTCTGTTTAGCAAAGACGACCTGGGTGAAAGGCTGTAGAGGTCCCTCGGGTGGGAGCAGTGGGCTGCCCATGGCAGGAGGCTGCCTGAGGGTTTGCTGGATGTCCTGGGGAAGGGGTTGTCTTCCCTCCACCTCACTGATCTTGATTAGAAGCTCTGTCCCAACTTGGGACAACCTGGGATGAAGCAGGAACAGACACCAGATCCTGGAATTGAGGTTTGGGGCACCAGGAGCCTGAAGCCTTTTGCCAGCTTCCGGTGCCCTGAGTCCATTTGACAAGGTATTTATTGAGTAGGGCACAGGGGTGTACGTGTAAAAAGTGAGATCACCATTTCCTGACATCACAAGCACCAATACTACAATACAATCTTAATCACAAGCACCCATTGTGTGGTATCATCTCCCTCAAGTGATAAATAACTCCTTCATCTTAAGCAGCAGCTGTAAGCAGTAAATGACTTAGAGTTCACACAGATTTTTGTCTATGCCAAAGATCCCAGAAGGTCTGATGTGGAATTAGCCTACACCCAAGAAAGAAATCTGAAGTCCTATCAATCCAGAAGGGATTGACCTTTCCAGGAAGCTCTCAGGATTCTAAGAGTCCATGTTCAGAGGAGGCCTTCCATCCTCCCAATCCATTCAGCTCTCACAGCTCGGCTTATGGGGGCTCACAATCCCCTCTTTTCCTATGATTTCAGAAAGCATAATTCTTTTTTTTCTAGATAATATAAAAAATTTAATAACCTCTTTTAAAAAATTCTTGAGGATTAAATTTTAATATAATTTCCATAATCTATGCTTTAAAGAGTAGTTTCGGAGTTCCGGGAAGATGGCGGAGGAGAAGCTGGAATCTGAACAAGCTCTTGCATAGAAAACAGTTTCAGAGTTCCAGTGAA